CTTTTTTCTTTTTGCTTATGTGGTGCTGAGGAATCGAACCCAGGGCCTCATGCATGCAAGGCAAGCGCTCTACCACTGAGCCACCTTCCCAGCCCCTGGAACACAGTTTCTATACCCAGTCTTCTGTGACTTTATCTTCTACCTTGCTCTGTCCCGGGCACTCATTCTCTCAGCTATTTTCCCCTGGGCATTTCCGATCCTAGCCATGGGGTCCCTGAGTTTATCTCTTGTTGGGTATGTGGACTTGTACCCTATCATCACATATGACAGTGTCACTAGACAGAAGGAGCCACGGACCCCACGGATAGTAGAGAACCTGGCATCAGGGATCACTGGGAGAGGTACACCCAGTTTTTTTAAGGGGATGATCAGAAAGTTAAACACAAGGACTTGTGCTTTACTAGCCTGAAGTCCTACATCCTGAGCTATGCAACCTCCCAACCTTTTTTACTTTGGTTTTTGTTTTTGTTGTTGTTGTTGTTGTTTGGTCAATCTTGGGGCTTGAACTCTGGGACTGGGTGCTGTCCCTAAGCTCTTCAGCTCAAGGCAAGTTCTCTACCACTGGAGCCATAGGGCTACTTTCCTGCCTAGGCTGGCTTTGAACTGTGATCCTCAGATCTCAGCCTTCTGAATAGCGAGGATTACAGGCCTGGCTGTTTTGGTTATTTTTGAGATAGGGTCTCCAGTTTATGCCTAGGCCAGCCTGGAACTTGATACTCCAATTTGTTTCCCATATAGCTGGAAACACAGCTTCTTTCTAGTAGAGATGGATTGGTTTGGGCTGGCCTCAAACCATAATCCTCCTAATCTTCACCTCTTGAGTAGCTATGTTATTGGTGTGAGCTGAGCCACTGTGCCCAATAAGGGTACAATCTTAAGAGTCTAAGCTCCTGAAGCACTGGGCAGGATGTCAGGAATTAAATGGGAGACTAGTAAAGAGAGACTATCAATATATACAGCCACAGCCCGTGGTTGGGGAGAGGAGATTAAGAGTGATACTTAATAACAGTACTTGTTGGAGTAGACTGGAGTAATTTTCCAAAATATGCTATTGTTTGTCAGGAGAAGAGGTTCCTGTTATCAGGAGGAAAGGGGGAGTATTTAAGATGCTAGGCCAGCAAAGCAGTAATCTGTAGGACTCTGTTCACATCATAAATGTCATTATTGTTGCCTGGCCAAAGAATGAAAACTTAGGACCTGGTTAAAATCTAAGGCCAACTTGGCATTGTACCTTTAATTACTGAGACATTTTAGGCTAAGGCTAGGCATATGTGAAGAGGGTCTTGAGCTCACTTCCTGATCTTGATGTACTGCCTCTCCTTTGACTGGAAACAAAGAGAGCCCCTAATTGCTTTTTCTGTAGCCCTCAACGAATACAGCATTGTAGGAAAAGTAGGGAAAGTTCAGCAGAGATGCTATCCACTGAGATTTGAAGGTTAATCCTAATTATGCTGATTAGGTCCAGTGCAAGAAATTCTTTGGAGAAATACGGGGAACCTGAGCTGTAGTAAGTGTGGGAAGTTTGATTTCAGTGCACCTGCTCCCCTCTCCTGGCTTTCTCAGTATCTACCACGAGTGTCCGAATGGGATCTCTGCCTTTTGATCAAATCCTATGCCTAGAAAAGAATGTAGGATTAGATTGTTACAGAAACTGTCAAAAATAAGTTCCTCCTGGTAACATAAGATTTTACTTTTAGTGTTGGGACCCTTTTCCTACTAAATTTCATGTCCGAGGAAAAAGACTACGAGGGTATTGTTGAGGTGGAGGCTCTTTTCTGTAACTGGGATGACAGATAATAAGGTGGAAGAAAGGAGAGATGATGATGACGATCAGGAAGCAGGTCTTCCACACTGTGGTTGCTCTCTATATGACACCATAGTCCAGTTTCAGCAGAACTGTTATGAGCAGCACCATATGGAAGCACAGTCATGAGGAAGCAATGTCACAAACGGACAATCCCTTCTCACTACTGGAGCTCTTGTGTGAATTGTTGTTGTTGTTGTTTTGTGCCAGTCCTAGGGATTGAACTCAGGGCCTAGATGCTGTCTCTGAGCTGGTTTTTTTTTGCTCAAGGTTAGCACTCTACCACTTTGAGCCACAGTTCTACTTCCAGCTTTTTAGTGTTAATTGGAGATAAGAGTCTCACAGACTTTACTGCCAGGGCTGGCTTAGAATGACGATCGTCAGATTTCAGCCTCCTGAGTAGCTAGGATTACAGATGTGAGCCACCAGCACCCAGCCTCATGAAAATTTTTGTAGCTTCTTTGAGGGCATAATTTAATGTTAACTGTTGTGTGCATCTGGTGACAGCCATCAAATGCCAAGCTGAACACTTAAGGCAATTCAGAATCAAAGCTAGGCTAAAAGGGCTATGTTGCTGATGGTTACTAAACCAAAAATTGAGATTGAGGAATACTGAGTTCTAATACCCAATCTCCTGGTAAATCACCTCCCAGGAATAGTCACACATTTTGTGTACTTTTCTTTGACACAGAAAGATATTTCAGTGGGGTACCAATAGCTCACACCTGTAATCCTAGCTACTCAGGAGGCTGAGATCTGAGGATCACAGTTCAAAGCCAGCTCCAGCAGGAAAGTCTGAGACTCTTATCTCCAATTAACCACCAGAAACTGGAAGTTGCACTGTGGCTCAGAGTGATATAGCGCTCGCCTTGAGAAAAAAAGCTCAGAGATAACACCCGGGCCCTGAGTTCAAGCCCCATGACAAAAAAAAAAAAAAAGGTATTTCAAAGGTAAACAGTCACAACACACAAACACATCCAAAACACTGAGTGCCACCTGGCTTTTTACCCCCTAGGGGATATAGTATGACTCACCTTCATATTCTTCATTGCCTAGCCTCTGGCCCAGTAGGAAGCACACAGTAATGATCATGAACTTTGATTCTGGAAAATTCTTGATTTTTAGGTACTTAGTGAAGCAAATGAATTGGGAAATCCAGTTGCCAAATTTGAATGCTAGATCCTTAGGGCCCAGTTGTACTTACATTACATTCTTCTTCCTAGACTGAATCAGGAAGAAACTTTTCCAAGGATTGCAACTCTCTTCTGCAGAGCTCCTGTCTTTTACCTTCCACAAATTTCCATAATGTGGATGAAAAATAGGGAAGAAGTGGAGTATGGAGATATTCTTCCCAGTGGGGTTGGAACCTACCAGACACGAGCTGGACCCTCAGGGCAGCAACCTCTACTCCTGTCACATGGAGCACTCTGACCTCCGTGTTGTTCATGACATCCAGGGTAAGAACAGGGATCATGGCTGGCTGAGGAGTGAACCTGAGGAAAGAGCCTGATCAGGAAGCCACGCTGCCTGCAGGGAGAGGAGGAGACATCACAGCATCACCCAACATGCTATAGCATGGGTCTCCTAGATCAGCAATTCTCACATTTGGTCCCACTTCAAAATTTCTGAAATCCCAAAAGGTTTTTGTTTATGTGAATTATACCTATTGCTATTTATTGTGTTGCAGACTAATTTTTCTTAAGTTCAACACAAGCAAACACTAGCACATACTCTATTACCCATCAGTTTGATGAGTGAGAGAAGTGTTAGGTTTCTGGTAATCACAGGAACAAAAGTCCCAGAAAGGAAACCTAGAAGAGAAAAGGGGACTTGTGGATTTTCCTCATTTGCTTGCTGGCTTGCAGAATCGGGAACCAAAACTGTCTTTGGAGCCAGTGTTCTCGCCATTGTTGTGACTGGAGTTGGTATTCTGGCCTGGAGAAGACCCGAGGTGAGAGGCATGTGGAGGAGTTGTAGAGAGTTGCAGATATTCCCTTCTATTCTGTTCTCCTGAGATGTTTGACTTGATATCTGCCACTCTGAGCTCCGTTTAGAAATGGGTTGTCCTTCGTATTGGGATCATAAAAGAACAGGGGACACCTTGCCAGCATGTAGGGAATGCACATTTCCTGGATAATGTTTCCAAGGAGAGGCAAAAAGGATCAGTGACTGTGATTTCTCTTTTTCAGGCCATCCTTGTTATTAATGACTATTGATTTGAGGGAATGTTGTCTTTCATGTCAAGACTAGTCAGTTTCCCATTTTGACAACCATTTTTCTTTCCCAGTCCTCTGATCTTTTTCATCTAAATTCATTCTTTAAAACATGAGGTATTTAAGAATAGTTATCTTTGTAAAAATGGGATTTGCAATAAGTAAAAGGAGAAGGAGAAACAGGAGATAGATAGGCTATTGGTATTGTGAAGGAAAATAAGTTCATTAATTATTTCAGTATGAAATACCTACTGTGTTCAAGATACCATACTGGTTGCTGGGAAATAGCAATGGGAAGAGAGACATGATCCCTGATCTCTGTTGTCATAGATCATGGTACGGTCCTGTGTGTGTGTGTGTGTGTGCTCACACGCACATGCACTGGTACTGGAGCCTGAATGCAAGGTTTCTTTCTCTTGGCTTTTATGCTCAAGGCTGGTGCTCTACCACTTAGGCCACAGCTCCACGTCTGGCATTTTCCTGGCTAATTGGAAATAAGTCTCACAGACTTTCCTGTCCAGACTGAATCTGAACCATGATCCTCATATCTCAGGCTCTTGAGAAGCCACCAGCACCCTGATCACATTATGTCCTATAAGGTCATTTCTTGCCTCTGGTTTTACTAGTTTTTCAAGTTGATCACAACAAAAATTGATGAGACTTGGAGCATAACTTGGAACCCAGGTCAGGTAGGCAGATGTTGGTTGTGCTTCATAGTCATTGAGTTAAACTCAATGTACGTAATGTTATATAAAAAGTATATTAAGTCAGGCTCTGCTGGCTCATGTCTGTAATCCTAGCTACTCAGGAGGCTGAGATCTGAGGATCACAGTTCAAAGCCAGCGCAGGCAGGAAAGTCCATGAGAATTTTATTTCCAATTAACCACCAGAAAACCATGGCTTAACATGGTAGAGTGCTAGTCTTGAGCAAAAGAGCTCAGTAACAGTGCCTGGGTCCCAAATTCAAGCCTCACAACCAAAACCAACACCAACAATAACAAAAGCATATTATTATATTTTAGTAAGCCTGACTCCTTTACTAGAAATTATTTTCTAGACTGTTAGTGGGTCATTAATGTTTCCTTTATAAATAAAAGTACAACACTAATCTCAATCCAATAAATGATAGTTACTGAAAAAGAAAAATAATTATAGCTCTTTCAAGAACTGAGTTCCTGCTTTTTATCTTGGGGAGTTTGTGAATTTGTGCTAAAATTTGTCAAGTACTAGGAGAATCTTGACAAAGCAGGCTAAAATTGTCAGTATCTGCTTTGCAGATTTTGCTGAGCACTGCACATTTTATTTTTGAGCTGTGAGGAAACATACATGCATCTGACTGAAAACTCTTTTTTTTCTTTCAAAGAAAAATGGAATCATCTACCATCCTACACCAGATTGAAGATTGCAGTTCACCCTCTGGTAACCAAGATCTCCTCTGTCCTACATGTTCTCAAGTGTATTGCTTGACGCTCTTGACAACACGTGGGTATTACAGTATTGAACATTTATATCAAAAAGATATGAGACACAAATTTCTCCTTGTTCTCTGGCTGCAAAAGAACTGTCAGCTTTAAGGCTCTTTTTGATAGACTCCTTTATCATGTTTGGTCTTAAGTACGGTTTGTCTCATGACACAACACTTCCTACATCCCATTTCTCAGTGATGATTTATGAGATTAGAAAATCTCAGACTTGGAAGGAACTTTGTCATCTAGGCAGGAAATGTCTTCTTCAATGCTGTGTGTGGGTGTGTGGGTGTGCATGCACACACTGGTTCTATGGCTTGAACCCAGGGCCTTAGTGTTGTCCCTTAGCTTTTTTTGCTCAAATCTGGTACTCTACCACTTGAGCCACACCTCCACTTCTGGTAGTTACTTGGAGTTACATGATCCCTGGTCTTTGAACCATGATCCTCAGATTTCAGTCTCCTAAGCTGCTAGGATTACAGGTGTAAGCCACCAGTGCCCACCTCTACAATGCTTTAGATTTGAGTATTCAAGTTAGACCTTATGTGCAGGGTATCTCAATACCTCCAAAAATAACCTTTCTTGTTCTTCTTCTGTCATGAAAATGTTTACTATTCAAGAGCTTTGAATTATGTTTGGCCTCAAACTACCTTTTTTCCCTTTTTAAAACCATTATTACAAAGGTGATGTACAGAGAGGTTACAGTCACATGTCAAATTATCTTTTTTAAATATTTTGGAAAATATCACTTGATAAATTATTCAATTGTTTTGTTTTAACCTTTAATACACTTCTTTTCTTTGCTTTTTTTTTTTAAATCACACAGCCCAGAATCATAGATGTAACAAGCAAGGAGGGAAAAACAATTTGAGGCACAGTATGGAAGTCAGGTTTTCCTAGGCCAACTTTTCTATCAGAAGCTTCTTGAACTTTGCTGTTGGGAATCTGGCCTCCCTTTTCTCTGTCCTCCTTCTCACAATTTTCACATTCTGATTCTGCCCTTATTTCTGAGGGTTTGTCTCTGGTTTTTTTCTCTTCTTTTTTTCTTCTTTTCTGTGTGTGTGTGTCTGTGTGTGTGTGTGCGCGCGCACACACACATTAGTATTGGAGCTTAAACTCAGTACATAATATTAGCCTGACACTAGTGATTCATGTCTGTGATCCTAGCAACTCAGAAGGCAGAGTTTTGAGGATCCATAGTTCAGAGCCAGCCCAAGCAAGAAAAGTCCATGAGACTCTTATCTCTAATTAACCTTCCTAAAAAAAAAGGAAATGGAAGTGATCTTTGATTCAAATGGTAGAGCATCAGCCTTGAGTGGAAAAACGAAGGAACTGTGCCCAGGCCAAATTCAAGCCCTAGTATTGGCACACACATATACACATCAAAAAGTACATGTTTTTATTACCTAGACTTGGAAATCCATAGATGTATATCACTTTTGTAATATTCTTTTTTGTTTGTTTTTGGGTCCCATCGTGAGGCTTGGACTCTGGGCCTGGGCGCTGTCCCTCAGTTCTTCAGCTCAAGGCTAGCGCTCTACCACTTGAGCCACAGCGCCACTTCCAGCTTTTTTCTTTTTGCTTATGTGGTACTGAGGAATCGAACCCAGGGCCTCAGGCATGCAAGGCAAGCGCTCTACTACTGAGCTACCTTCCCAGCCCCAATCCTGCTCAGTTTTAAGAAGAGGTGCCATAAACCCCAACACTCAGTGGGTAGATTATAAAAATTACATTGTAAGAAGAGCATGTACATGGGAACTAACCAATAGCTCTTCTGCAGCCTGAGTTTTTTGATGAATTCATCTTTGAGTCTTGACCACCAGGAAGGCCAAGTTCTACCCAAGGGGAGATATTGATGCCTTTCAGAGGTTTAGTTCATACAAGCCCTCTAACCCTCAGGTGCCCTGTACATAATATTTCTGGAAAGACTGGGGATGGGTGTTTCCCAGGAAGAAGCCCAAACAATTGTCTCCAATGCTACATCCTGGGACTTTGACTGTGGCCTTCTTGTTCAACAAGTCCCCTTCTTCATTTCTCATGGCTGGCATGGCTGAAGAAGAAACTCCCCCCCACACTAAATATGTGAGTATTGATTTATGAATATGATGATTACATGAGAAATTTACCATGTAAAAAGATAAGAAGCATCTATACATGGCATTAGATGTGTCCTTGTTGTCAATTTTGTTGATTAAAATATGGGATTAAGCCTATTTATTCTGTTTCTGGCCTAGCAGGGTCCTAGCTAACCCACAAAGGCCATTTGTGGGTGCACACTGGCCTAGGCCAGGTCATATGGCTTGGGAAGGCAGAAATAGACTGGATTTTGACCCTGTTTGCCCTCTCCAGGGGAGATCCTTCCAAGCTCAAGTCATATGCAAAAATAGAGATTGACAATGAATGAATTTATATGGAAGAAAACCCAAAAAACCAAGTCAGTTTACCCAAAATGTTAGAACTAGCAGCTCTATGTAATTTATCCAAATAGTCAACATCATCTGAATGACTACATAATCCAATCATGATGTTTATTAATGTCAATCTATTTTTAAAATCTTTATGTAACAGTACACAGTGTTTGCATGATGCCTTGTATGTAGCAGAGACTCAATAAATACTTCTTGAATGAACCAGTACAGTATTTTAATTAGCTAGCCTTTGTGTACCAGTGCGAAAGAACAGTGTCATCTTACAACTGAGTCATTGAGGGGAAATATCCCTAGGGTCCTGTATCATCCTGGGTACCAAGGGTCAATAGTCCAGGCACTGATTTGAATTCTTCTAAAGTCTCAGCAGCATTAACATCCTTTATTTCATAAACTGGATCATGTCATTGCCTTGTCTGTGGGATTAGAGATACCAGAGATTCTAACACCTCCTCACCCCTGCTCCTGCCACCTCCATATGAAAGACACGGACAACTTCAGAGCTTTCTCACAGACGCTACCGGTTTCCAGTAAGAGGTGCTTGAGAAATGAATTCTCAGACATCTTGGGTGCCCAAATACCTGGTATCATTTCTGTATTTCTTATTCTCCAAGCTTAGAGTTGTAATATAATGTGGATTTTCTTTTCTACCAGTATTTGAATCAGATTCTTAAAATACAAATTTCATCCATTCTTGTTAAGCCCTTTAAACTGGGACGTATAGAAAACGATTTCCTCTTAAGAGCATTGATGGTTTTTCTCTGAGCTGGTGGAGGCTGAGATCTGAGGATCTGTTTGAAGCTAGCCTGGATGGGAAAGTCCAGGAGACTGTTATCTCCAATTAACCAGCAAAACAAAAACAAAAACTGGCAGTAGAGCTGTGCCTCAAGTGCTAACAGTGTCACCCTAGAACAAAAGAGCTAAGGGACAGCGGATAGGCCCTGAGTTCAAGCCCCAATACTGGCATAAAAAGAGGGAGAGGGGAAGAAGGAAGAGGAGCAGAGGGAGAAGAAAGATGGGGGGTGGGAGGGGGGAGGGGACCTTGCCTGTGGGAAAAGGAAGTGAAACCAACAGAAAAATGACACACATAACCCCAAGCTGAAGTCGGCTT